ATATGGCCTAAAGAATTATTGGAGCATTTTTCAAATATAATTGATCTATCGAGTCTTGAAACATTGAACTTGGATTTCGAAGCTGAATGTAAGTTCGATACAAGTTTGGATGTTGAAATGAATACTTTTTTAAACGAACATACAATCTTCGTTCAATACGAATATCTTGCACTTATTCTGACACGATGAAGTTAATAACTTTTAATGATATTTGTTTAAAATTACCACGACATATTAGACGCCTTGATGCTGATATCAAATATGTAAAGGACGTAAAACTGCTATTGGAACAAGCTGAACATTTATCAAGTATCAGATTTCGATGTACTGAAGATATTGAGTTCCCAGCTACAATCATTACATGGCTTTCGAAAATGGGACGAGATGTTGTACCTTCGGTGGAGTGGAAAGTCCCATTTTGGAATGACGGGCATTGTTGGATATATCCAGTATACTTATGGCTTGGCAAGAGTATGAAGAAGCCATTGAACAGAATCAATTAGTCACTAACGTGTCAACAGCACTCATGACTATCATTACTTGTGATTTATTAACTTAACTCTTTTTGACAGTAATGATTTTAAACATTCGCTTTTACATCGATGAATACCTTGTAAAATTGATCTCCAAATAAAAATCAAAAGATTTGTAATTGTGGTAATTTTTCCTTAATAGAAAGGTTCTCGAATGTGTTCTCGTCATGCGACTCTATGCTTCAAACATTTCTTCAGACTTTTCTAAGCAGTATTTCCCTATTTGCCATCTACAATATTTTTATTGCTGAATAAATATGAATAAATTAAGAAAGCTTGATCGATTTGATTAAATTTTACTCAATATTTTGAAAGAAATCTTACAGGTTCAATTAAATAATTGAACTCACTTGTAATTCATTGAAGACTTCCAAACTAAAACTACAAAGAGTGTGATTGCCACTATCAATTTGCATAAAAGACAGATAGCCACATCTGCATTAACCTATTTCAGCTAATACTGAAAAAATGGATGGGTATTACTTGTGTCGGTATCTTCCTTCCATTACAAACACGAGCACATAAAATAAAGGTATTGTTTTTTGCTAGGCGTAATCTAGGTTTGTTACGGTTAAAAGCAACTTCGTACATAGCATGAATTCAGAAATCTATTGACCTTTTAACACATTGAACACAAGCAAATATCGGTAAGAGTAAATTGTTTGGCAAACAGGAGAAAGAGCCATGGACATACATAAATAATTTTGTTCTAGCAAAATTTGCGATATGTGACAATTACAGCAAGTTGTGTGTGTTATAGTGTAACAATCTATGTATGTGCTGTTGTTAGATTTTTTTTTCATCGAATCTTTGTCTTGAGTTTTATAGCAAATCTATATATATTCTTCATTCTGCAGTCATATAATGTTTCACAGTTTCAGCATATAATTGAATAAGACTGAGTTTCATATGACTTGCATGACTTCATGTAAACTATCCATACAACGTCTCCATTTAGTATTTTTATGATTTCATGAAAGCTGAGCGGATATGGTAACCTTTAGTGTTCTGAAAAATCGTATCTGTTTACAAATGTAACTACGTAGTTATAAAATATCTATATCACATAGCTATAATCTTACCCACCTTCATGTAAATACCAGAAGAATACTGTTGTTCTACAGAAAACAATCTAATTACAGTGCACAACATATGCTCAATTCATACTTCATCTATTTCCATGCTCTCAATCATAAATACATTGCATACTTACATCCAAACATTGTTATAGAACTTATCGGAAGTTACTGGATGGCAGTTCAAGCATGATTGAATCTTTTGAAAATTTTCTCTTCGGAAAACAGTCAAATGTTGATTCTTCAGTTTTGCCTCCAAATTGCGATATGTAATGCTTGAATAGGGTGTTGGTGCGAGTGTACGTGTGGGAATGAGTGTGGGTGCGGGTCTTAGTATGATAAGGTTATTAGCTTACTGAAGATGCACAAACACCCACACCTCACGCCCATATTGGCACCCACCCACACCAACATCCACACCCCACCCCACACCCACACCCACTCAGAAAACAATTAGAAGACAGTAATTAACTATTGTTCATTTCAGTTTTTAAGATGTACGCACATATTTTATTAGTTATTTGACAATCCTTATGTTATAGCGTTTTTTTCGATCAATCTATACTATATAGACGATTTACTCTTCATTTGTAACACGCATGGGTGTTGCCAATGCGATACCAGTGTCGTCAAATATTTCATTTTGAATGCCGTAGAGAATGTGCGCAGCTGGAACATACTGTTTAGCTCGATTGATATGGGCACTTGAATCATCGAAAAAGATTGCTGGATCAATGGCGACCAGAAAAGGTGTTTTATCTAGTCCACCCTAGAAATGAGTTTCGTCAATTTCGAGACCCCATTGCTCTAACGTTCCGAATGCTCGCTCGTTGGCTACACCGCTACGAGCAGTGACAAGGAAAGTGCGCACTCTCCATTCGTTGCTGCTTCCTAGTTCCGCACGCAGCTTTTGCAACTTCAGAGCAAATGCATGCATTGGACCTTCTGGCAATGCAATATGTTGCTTTTCCCGCTCGAAGTGGCGAAAAGCCTCCAATCCTTGGGTTCTATAGATGCGTTCAGCTTCATCTGAGAAGAGTACGCCGTCTCCATCAAAAACGATACGAACTTGATCCTTTGACCATTGCGAGGTTTTGACAGTCATTATTTCATTGGGCACATCCACTGTCTTGAGTATAGTAGGTCTAATCGTAGCATGTAAAAAAAAAGTGATAATGCAAATGAAGTTTTTCATGATTTTCTAAGTTATTCACAAAGGTCTCATTCAAGTGTTAGCCGATAGAACTAATTATACTAGTACTGTTAATATGACAACAGGGATTAAACGACATAAATGAGACAAGGACAAGAAGAAATGCATATCGGCATCTCTTCAATTGTTTTATCTAAACTTTCTGGATTTGTTCTGCTGCCAGTATTGTTCAACCTGTTACACTTCCATCTTTGATGATACCTTTATAAATGCTATTGATTCTCTACCTATCAGCAGTGGACAACAAATCGATCGGTGAGAAAAATGCTCATTTCAAGCGGAAAAATGCCTTCCACGTCAAAAATGAATTTTTTTCCATTCTGTTCATATAGGACGACCGTTACATACATATATGCGTATGCGTCCCCATTTCATTCGTATCTCATTCTTCTATCATTACCATTCAGAAAAGGAAGACGTGCGAAAACAACCCCTTCATAGACAGTAAAATATATTAAGGAAAAATGAATATCAATCTTAGAAGAACACTTATTGGATATAGAAAAAATATTTTTTTCATTGAATACAGTAGCTTTTTTTTTATCTTCTTCCATTCGAATACATAGATAATATATAATAGTAAAAGTGAGATAAAAAAAGAAATCAAATAAATATATATCTGACCAACAAGAGGACATTTCTCTCTGCCAGCGGACTTTTCTATTCTGTCACATTTATCTGTTCTCTTAAGATTTATCTCGTCTCGATACACACAAGACACGCTTTCACAAATTTCAACAACATAGCCAAATCATTTACATATATATACAACTACCGAAACCCATGCGTAACACTAACATTATACCCAATACAAAGCATGATACTTCTTTCTCTCAGCCCACCTTTCCCTATATGATTTCTTTCTTTCTGGTGCGTATATATGTCTCACTACATTCCTAGTCCAACGAACGATTCTATTAGTCATATACTACATTCAGCATTCAAATTCACCACGATCCACGCGTTACTAGTGTTAACAAACACTTTACTTTACAGTAAGATCGAAAACATCTCAAACAACTAATACATGCATTAACAGATACAAAAATATAACGATAAGTTACTAGCACCTTATAGACACTTTCCTGATCACGGGAAAGCGTATACCTCCCTTCGCCAAAAAGTAGATTCATCACTACACTAGTCACACAACGTAACAGATTATGAAGCGATACACAAAAGAAATTTACTACAATAATCCGCCCATCTCCAACCACTAAACTATGGCTAGACATACCATTAATGCGATTAATTAGATAGCATCACACTATTCCAAAAGCCCAGAGCACTCCTCAGAAAAAGAACATTTTTTCCACCAACTGAGCAATAATTTCAACTAGACTCGTTCACTACAACAGGGAAAGACTCAGTTTCCAAAATCACCGATTATTCATCCCCTCCCCAATATCGAAATCGACCGAAAATCACTCATATAATAAACAACATTTTTCCGCTAGAGCTTAGCANTTTTTCCGCTAGAGCTTAGCATTATTCCATTATTCCAGCTCATTTTCCCATAGCTCAATTCATTTCTCCTGTAGATTTTTCATTTTTTCGCTGGTAGAACTATATAATATGTCTGTTAAATCTAGATCCTTTCTGTTTTTTCTATCCCTTAAGCTTGTGTTATGTGGTGTTTTTTTTGGCTATGATTTAGCATTTTTGACCTGGACGGCATTTTTCCGCTTCGATGGAACATTTTTCTCTCCGATGGAAGTGTTGCCCAGCCCTCCTACCTATATATCTAGCTTAAACTGATGAATGGATTTTCCATTCTGTATTAGCTAATATCTTGTCCAGTGGAGATGCCACATATCAATAAGAAGACATAGTGTAAAGCGAACTATTTTATGTGGTAGTCACCAGTTTGGATACAGCCAATACAAAATGTAAAAATGAGTGACAAAATACTTTAAATTTTTTTTAAAACTTCGTATAACAGCTTATTCGAGAGTCTAGAAAATTGTATCACACAATTCATTCGAAAATAACATAGCATTATGGAAATCATTAAACAATGTAAAGTCCTACGAAGTCTTATCACATTCGAAGCTATCGAGTAATTTTAATTCTTCTGTTGGTTCTATCAACTATTAATGAAAAGATTCCTTTGCGATTGAGATGAAAACTCATAGAAAATATCAAAATAGTTTGTGGAGACGTAAAAGGTAGATTAACTTACACTGAATTATCGGACTGAAGATCTGTTGTTTCAGCAATGATGTTGCATACCAAACCAGCTGCTATTCCATTAAACGTAGTAGGAGAGTTGGCAGACAATACTGTACGAACTTGTTTTTCTTCTGTGGTAAGAAAGAGATCGCATCCCCATGCTTGTAAGTATGTGGTAACATCTGTACCACTGGTGAATGACATACGTGTAATACCAAGTTTGTGGTAACTGATGGAGTTCCGAATGCGCTTTCCTGATTGACTGTCATTACGTGATACGAGGATCACGTCAACCAATTCTTTATCTGTGCTATAATTTAAGTTCAACAGAGATTGAACTAATCGAAATCCAACACCAGGTTTTAAAGGTTCCATGACATGGTTGCGTTGATGATTTTTGTACGCTTCAAGTCCTTGTTGTTTCCATATGTTGTGAGATTCACTACAATCGAAGAGTGCAGTGGAAGTAATACAAACGACTAACTTAAAGGAGTTAGACATAAAAATAATTATTGTACAAGCAGTTTTCAGACATCATCGTAATTAAATTCAAATTGCAGAAGTTGATCAGCTAAAATGAAAAACCGTATACACTAACAATATGCACAAAATAGAGCTAAAGATATTTCATAGTACGGTTAATGAATACAGTGTCAAGATTATACAAAATGATATTCTTAAGCTTACGAGTTGAATGCAAAAACAATTCTTTGATTATCTTTAAAGGATTTTTACAAAAATCCAAGATACTTAGTTACAAGCTGATGCAAAAATGCCATATACTAAGTGAATATGTGCCATACTTTATGCGTGCGAGTCTGGGTGTGGGTGTAGGTGTAGGGGTGGGTGTGGGTGTAGGTGTGGGGCGTGGGTATGGGCGTGGATGGGTGTGCGCCTGGGTGTACCTATATCTGACACTCACACCCTGGCCTGCACCCACCCACACCCACACTCACACTCAAAAAGTGCATAATTACAATAAGCTTTGCTTTGTAGATTGTCGAGCTTTTTGCACTGCATCTTGTGGTTTGTTTTGATTTACAATACAACGTGTTTAGAGATAAAAAAAATAAAACGCAAAGTGCAGCCATTGATTTTGGGTCACCCGATCAGGGTTGTCGATTGTTTCTAGGAGTGGAGGGGGATCAAAATTTGGCAGAAAGTCCATCTTTTTTACAATTTTTAGTTCACCCAGAAATCTTTTAAGAGTAACAAAAAATATCATGTTCGTCTAAAAGCGAAGGCACTTTCAAATATATTTAAACTTTCAAAAAATAAAGACATTTTAAGGTGCAGGCAATTCAAACTTCGAGCTAATTTTTTTTCTCCTTTTTTTTACATCACTTCATAGAGTGTGGGCCGCTGATCACGAAAACCACTTTTTAGCATCAGTAAATGCTTTTTTCAGGTCGAAAAATACGAAAAACTTGAAGGACGTCGTTTTTTTCGAAAAATATCTTTTTCAAGATATACAAAATTTTCTGCTTCATTCTTTTTTCCAGCTTCTAAAGATATTTTTTTCAGATTCAGCATCAAAAACTGAGTAAAGACAAGTTGTTACATCGAATCCAATCTTGAAAATTTTTTGATGATGGCGCTTCGAATCGCGCCCAGTGCAATACGTGTAGGTCGACTTTGTAAGCCTATCTAATTTTTTTTACGTAAGAAGTGAAGTCAAATATTTTATCACATTTAACTCATCATACCACCAGTTACAAAAGTATGTATCGCGTTTTTTTCTTTTCTTTGTTGAGAAAAACCTGTTTTT